ACACTGCCAATAGGTCTATTGCTACTAAAATTACATTTCATATATTCAATTTTAGATCTATTCAAATAAAATACTTTTAACTATAAAGCAAACCTCCCTAATTCAAGCTTTTCCTAAACTCTTTCTCTGATCTTATCCATGAGAAGGATATCATTAATGAAAAACATACACCAAGATACATTCTCCTGTAAATGTCCGCTAAACCAAAAAAAATATGGGTTTAAAGCCGTTCTCTTATGTAATCCAACTGAAATAGGAAAATACTTGGTCAATCCTTTTTTGTTCGAACACAAGTAACAATTTTAGTAGACATATCTTTAATGACTTGAATATAAGTCATATCAACATCTTTCTTTTTTAGAACTCCAAAGAACTCTTGGAAACTTATCGTAAGTTTTTTTTAGATCAATAAAAATCATATGTAGATCCTCCTACTTTATTTGTACATTTTCTATCAAATATCTCAATAAATGTTTAACTTTCATAGTAGACTTACCCTACATAAATTCAAACTGATTATGAGAAATCTTTTTATCATGTCTTAACCTATGTTCAGTTATTCTCTCCCAAAATTTGTGTATGACACATTAACTTAATTTCTCTATAATTTGAACACTCTTGTGCATTCCCTTTATTCTTAAAAATCCCTTTATTCTTAAAAATGGATGGAGACCAAAATACTCTTCCTCTGCTCCTCTCCTCAGTCATCTTTTTGGTTTTTTAAAATAATATTAAAAGTCTAGTAAGCCTATAATTTCTTAAATCTCATAAATATTTTTACACTTCTATTGGGTTACCATCAAATTTTATTGAATTTTCACCATTGATTTTCTTTAAAGCATCAACTTTCTTTTTACTAAAGCGATAGTAAAAATAAAAATATAATTATTATTAACGATATTAAGGTCACTAAAGTCTATCGTAGTTTAAAAGCTTCATGAAAAAGTTTATCAAAATATCTTACCCATCTATGTTGAATATCTTCATATAAGGAAAGTACTTTTTATTTTCATTTTTACTACACTTTCCATGAACTAAATTTTTACTTTTTTTTTCTCTTTGTTTGACTAGTTTATGGATATATTTTTTTGTCACTAGAGTAGTTATTCTGTTATAAACATAACTAAAAATAAATTTTTTAGCACCACAATTAATTTTCTTAGACTCTCTATTGGTCACCTTATATTTTCACAATTCTCTAGGTTTTTACTTTTAAACCAAATTTTATGACAGTTTTTATTTTATGTTTTCTTGCATATTATTATTCTACCACAAACTATTTTTCTTTATAAATTTTTTTTATTGATTCTCCAAGTTCATGTTTTATCACTTATTTAATAATGTTTATTACTTTATCCCATTTAGAATAAACTTTTTTATAAAAATCTCAAATCTTAGAAGTTTGAAGTTTACTCATAAAAATACGTTGTTTGTGTATTTTAATTGTTCATATATTTTATGACATTGTTTCGTTGTATTTTTTATCTTCAAACTTTCCAACTTAAAATTCAAAACTAATAATCGATGTTGAAAACTTAAATTTTCACTTGAAATGACCTTATAATCTTTATATGCTCGATGATTTTTTTATTTTATAAGTGAATAATCAATTTGTGTTTTATTAGATTTTCTTATAAGAAAATAATCAATTCGTGTTTTATTAGATCACTTATTTTAAATAATAATATGATCATCTATTTTGTTAAATAAAATATTAGCATTAACAAAATCACAGGCTAAAGCAAATTCTAATACAATTTTACCTTCTTCATTAACCATCCCAAGACTCTAGCCACCATGAATATTTCTAAATTCTTCTACCACTCTATCATATGTCCATTTAAATTTACCCCAATAAATTTTTTTTCTTCAAGGATATCATTTGTATTAATTATTCTAGTTCATTTTAAAAATTTTCTTTTGAATATATATCTAAATACTTAAGGCATTTATAACATTAAGAATTTTAGTATCAACAATAAACTTTAAGGTTATAATTATATCATCAATTCTATTAATTTTTACAACATTACCTTTCAAGCACTTATCTATAATCACACCTACATCATTTCTAGCATTACTCCTACCCGAATATCAAAGTTTAAAACCCAACTTATCAATCTTCTTAGTCCTTTTTCTAATCTATTTAGTTTCTTAAATGCATAAGATATTTATTTTCCTATGCATCGTAATATCTACTAATTTCATTAGTTTACCTGTGAGAGTACTTATATTACAAAATCTTATCCTAATATTAGTTTCATGGATTAAGTTCTTTGTCTGCATTTGTCAATATGTAGGAACCCTTGTTTATTTAAACAATACACCCAGACGCCGGTGTAACAGTCCTTACACACTTTTCACTGTATTCAAGCCGCAATACGTCACATTTAGGGGACGCCCTAACATCCACACAATGATTTAAATGTTTAATGTCATTATTTTTTTGATAAAAAATTATGCTAGTTGTCGACTACTTAATGCAACCATCCTTTTTGTGTCTGGGGCTTGGGACCCGACAGTGAGAGTGTTAGCTTTAAATGGATGTATACAACATCAACAACAAGTCTTTATTCCACTAAGTGGGTTAGCTAAATGAATCTTTTTTTCTCCATTATGTCTTATTGAGTGTCACATTTTCATTTAATTCTAATAGCTTAAGCTCATTTTTTATACAATATGCCCAAGTCTTCTTAGGTCTACCTTTACCGTTCTTAAGATAAGTTAAATCTAAAACATCTAATCTCTTGATCGGATCATCAAATGGTTGACGTTTAATGTGACCAAATCATCTAAGACGAATCTCTCTAATCTTGTTTGCAACTGGTGCTACACAAACCCTTTCACAGATAGATTCGTTTCACATTTTTTCTCTGGGTCTGTTTGGGACAGCTGTTGATTATTTATAATCTGCTGATAAACATATTATTTTGATAATCTGATAATCTGCAGATTATCATAAAGATTATCATTGTTGTTTGAGGCAGCTTATTCAGAACAGCTTACTGGAAACTGTTGTTGGATAAATGACCATTCTGCCTCTGTTTGTGCAGTGTTCGCACGTGCGGACGACGCAGAACTGTATGAAAAAATAATAGATAGAACATAACTGTATGGTTAAGAACTGAATGGTAATTTTCCAAATATAACATTTAAGAAATTGCTCAAAAATCACAAAAAATAGAAACAACTTAAATTGATTATCAATATAAACAACATAGAAAGAGAGATTGATATAAGTCTAACACCAGTTCTTCGGAAGCTGAATACAAAAAGATTAATGGTTTCAATATAGAATCCTAGTTAACAAGATAATTGTCAAATTTAAAAATCATAACAACAAGGCAATATGAGCAAATGAAATTAATCATTAAAATCAACCGGAGAAGGTGCATGAAAGAATCCTCGGGATATGAAAGTGTGATCAAGATGGCAGCCGACCCTTACCTTCCTCGCTAGTCATGCGACGCAGGGAGAGACGAGCAATGTTTTACGGGAGAAGGTGCATGCGGTAGTGGAGGGGGAGGATCGTGAGCTTCGGTTCTGGGGTCGACGAACGGGGGAGGAGTAGTGGAGACGAACGGGATCAACGAACAGGATCGTGAGCTTCGGTTTGGGGTTGATGAACGGGGAAGAAGGAGCAGTGGAGACGAACGGGGAGTTCGGAACATTGCGGAGTAGACAAATAGTTGCGAAGGGCACCGAAGGTATTTGATCCCTAAACGCGAGTCACGAACGCCGAACGCATCTCATCCACCGCGTGCAACTCCTAAGGAGAAATAAAAGACCGCCTTTCGCGGCGTTTTGAAAGGCTCCCCCAACGTGGTTTCCAAACAAAAACGCCGCCGCACCCAAATAAGCTGCCCCAAACGGGCCCTAAGTGTCAAGCCACTCATCCACCAAAGCATTCTCCCAACACTTAACTTTGTTTTATGCTTCTCTTTTAAATCCCAACATTCTATGTCATAAAACATTACAGGTCTCACCACCATCTTATAAAAATTTTCCTTTTAAGTTTAAGCTGTACTTTTCTATCACACAGTATGTTTGATGCATTTCTCCACTTCAACCAACCAACCTGAATTCTACTAATAACATTCTTTTCTATATTACCATCACTTTAAACATTAGACCCGAGATATTTAAAACGTTCACACCTTTTAATAATTTGATCACTCATAGTTATAACTTTGCGACTAAAGTTACTATTACTAAAATTATATTCTATGTAGATCTACTCAAATAAAGGCCTTTAGACTCCAATGTGGACCTCCATAAATGGATGTTTGATAAAATAAAATGGTTATCATGAGAAATAATCTTATTGGAGGAATGCTTGTGATAAATGCCCAGAGAAGGTAGTGTAATATAGATTTTCTGGGTTGCACCATGTTCAACAAAGGGATTAAACTTTTTTGAGGTTGTCAGATGGTGCATAGTGTCAATGTGATTTTTTTTTGAAAAGAGAATGGTAATTTTAAAAGTAATATGTCAAAGTTCTGCAAAGAAGATAGACAAGATAGATTTTTCCCTAATTTAGTAGCTACCCTCAAATAGTTGAACTCTAATGACGATGTTAATCTTATGAACCTACCATACAAACACGACAAAGACATGCCTGGTAACGAAGTTATTGGTTCTTTCTGTGCTGAAAGACAACTAAATTAGCGTGTTTAATAGAATAACGATCTCTAAGAAAAATTTCCCGGCAAATTTGATCCTGAAATAATGCAAAATCCCATGCAGGCCGCTGTCGGTGTTTTGGTGATGGTTATAACACTTATTCGTGAGAATGCACCCTTAGTACTCCCTTATTTTAGTCAGTTTTTTATTTCTTAATTAGATATTTTACGGAACTGTGTAGGTCTTCTCTCAATTTGGTTAACATTTGTATTTTTAAGACTGCACATGCTTTACTGTTTTGTCTATGGAACTACTAATCATGTATATTTTCAAAACTGAAACAAAATGACTAATCCATTTATGTGTGCATTTCATAGTGATGATGCAAGCAAAAGAAGGCACAGAGGTCGGGATTTCAAAGATGCGAGCAAGTTCGTAGTGCCCTATCATGAGAGGAGCTTATGCCGCAGGCTCCGCTCACTGAAACCTATCCTATTAATGATTTTATGTGGTACTTTTTTAACATTTATCTTTGCTCCAGTGGCTTACAATGAGCACTCCCCACATTTGTCATCAAGGTATGATTGTATCATCAAGGAAAATTTTCTTTCATTATTTTTCAAGTATATCACTACTAGTCCGGAGAAACAAAGGTTAGGTTGCCCTGCTGTGATTCAGATAGTCATAGATTGTAAAAAAATCCACTTCACTATACAAGCTAAGCTATTTGCATTAACCTTTGTGATAGGGTGTCAAATGGGCTCTTAAGTCCCGCATGAGCCCATTTCAGTATGCCCTTAAAATCCCATCATTGACATGGGCTAGTACAAACTTGCGCCTAGTACAAACTTGCGCCTTAAAACAAAGGTTAGCATCCCAACTAATTTCCGATGTATGAAGAGCTGATACTAATTCAAACATAGTTAGTGGATTGTGTTCATACGCAATCTGAAATAACGCGTGTCCTATAGTCAGGCTCACGAACCTATTGTACGCAAATCTAGCCCGAGCTAGAAGCAGGTCTTACTGCCTGATGTTCTTTCATATGAAGCACCTCAGGAGTTTTCCCAGGCTCCCGATCACGACCACTGTCTGACCATCTATCTGTAGGTGGGTTGCCTTGAAGCTTATTACCAAGCTTTACTCATAGGGTTATCTAGAAGTGACTGAGGAACTTGACGTTCCTATCAGATGTGATGCTTTTGGGGATCCTATGCAGCCTCATGATCTCTCTGAAGGTACAAATCAATGACATAAAATGCATCTAATGTCCTGTGACACGACAAATAATGAGCCATTTTCAAGATTTTTCAAGCACAACCATTATTGAATCTTTGTTCTGGTATGTTTTCTGAAGTCCCACCACGAAATCCATGTTGACATCTACCCAAATGGCCTGTGGTGTCGGTAATGCTATGTATAGCACTGTATTTTGCCCTCGGGTCTTGGCTAGGTGGCAAACTTTGCACTGTAGGATGTATCACTCCAAATGTCTCATTTGTCAGAGTCATAAACTAACGTGAGGGTCTTGTCTCTACCAAAATGACCTACTAGTCCCCTCCCTATGACTCTCCTGAATGTTGGCTTCCCTCAACAAACATTTTGGAGCTCACAATTTGTTTTGGTGGAATAGAGAATCATCATGTCTATGGTATGGTCCAGTGGGCCTCTTCTGACTTTGTTTCCAGATTTCCCTGAAATCCTCATCTACCCTGTACAACTCCACTCCCTCAAATCTCACAACTCTAGTCAGTAGGGAGATGATTAGCAAATGGTGGCGGATCAAGGCATCAACGACTCAATTCTGACTTCCTGCCTTGTGCTTGAGCATGAACTGGAATGATGCTAAGAACTCAACCCATGAAGCAGGTCTACTCTTCAGCTTGTTCCGATTGTTGAAGAATCTTAGCACCTTGTGATTTGTGAATAAAGTGAACTCGCTTGTCAGCAAGTAGTGACTCTTGTGGTGAAGAGCTGTCATAATGATATGGAACTCCTTGTCGTATGTCGAATATCATCTTCTGTACTCGTTTAATTTCTCACTGAAGAAGGCTATAAGTTATCTTCTATAGCTCAGCATTGCTCCGATTCTCATTTTAGAAGCGACAAACTTCACCTCGAATAACTGGCCGAAATTTGGTAAAGTTAACATTGGTGACTATGCCACCTTCTTCAAAGTGTTAAGACTGAATTGGGCTGCCTTTGGCCACTTAAAGTGCTCTCCCTTCAAAAGCTCTGTCAGAGGGGGTTGTAATGATGTTGAAGTTTCTGATTAATCGCCTGTGCTAACCCCTAAAAATTGCCTCAGCTCGACAAAGGACTATGGGAGTGTCTAGCTCACGATCACCTCTATATTTATAGGCTCCATCTGAATGCCTATATCAGATACAATATAACCCAAAAAACACGCGTCATCATGAAGTGGCATTCTAGTGGGCATTTAACTTCTCCGACCACAAGACCTCAAAAACCCATCTCAAATGTTGTGAGTGCTCCTCCTTTAAACTACTATAAATAAGCTTGTTGTCGAAGTAAACAACCACAAACTTCTCGATGTAAAATCAGAGCACTTGATTCATCAGTCTCATGAATGTACTAGGTGCACTGGATAACCTAAATGACATGACAGTTCACTCGTACAACCCATCTCTGGTCATGAAGGCGGTCTTCCATTCGTTTTTTGGTGCCATTATGATCTGATGATATCCACTGTGCAGATCAATCTTGGAAAATACTATGACTCCTTGTAACTGATCCAGTAGGTCATTCAGGCGAGGGATTTGAAACCGATATTTGATAATGATCTTATTGATAACTAAAGTATTGATGCATATCCTCTACGAGCTGTCCTTGTTGGGCACAATCAACACGGGAATAACACACGAGCTGATACTTTCTCACATCAATCCCCTGGTATTGAAATCCTATACTTGTTGTAACATGTACTCTGTTAGCCTCAATCGGTATGCAAGCCTGTTTGGCAACACTGATCCTGGAATAAGATCTATGACATGCTGAATATCCCTAAGCTACGATAAACCCTCTGGTAGTTTGTCGGTCATCATCTTTTGAAACTCAGCCTCCAGTGGCTAGACGTTCTCCGGTGGATCTGTGTCCTCCTCATTTCCCTCTAAGAAGACTAAGGCTAATGTCACTAGGGCTTCTCGAACTGAGTGCAGAAAAGTGGCGTGTGGGACTTCAGGCTTCTCCCTTACAGATGTAATTGTTACTCTAGAATCCTTGATGGGTAAGAGAACGTTGCATTTCTCCCTCAGTAAATTTATAAGTGTTCTTGAGCCCATCGTGTTTCGTCGTACGATCAAATTGTCACGGTTTCCCTAGTAGGATGTGTCAGACGTCCACGAGCACCGTGTCACATCAAACCTGGTTTTGTAGTTTGTCTCCAATAGACTCTATCAGGCATTATTGATCCGCATGTATCTCGTTTCCTTTCTTCAATTATATTAGAGAATCATAATTAGAGAATACGACTGGAAGTGTTTTTGTGTAGTTAAGGCCAACTTCATCATGAAAGCGGAGACAACTTTCTCAAAATTTTCACCATCAATAATGAGGCTGCAAACTTTCTCTCGTTGTACATCTGGTGAGGAAGATAATGTGCCTCAACCATGAGTAATTCCTCTGTTGTTTTGTTTGCAAAACTATTCTTACAACTAGGATTTCTCCTTCATATCTCTGGAGCCGGTATTCCTCACACTGATCTTCACCTGTTTCTTCATCACTCACTTCCTTAAGTTGTTGGGTAGCTGGAGGTGATGTAGCCATATATGTGATATCAGAAACATTTTCGAGCTGGAACTGTACAGGACATGCTGCTCTTCTCAAGCTTCTTTCCACTATGAACACCCTGTCTGGTCCTTCCCACTCCATATGTGCTCCTGCTTGGGCCTCCAGCTATACGGGGTTGTCTGCATTGAGGCAGGTACATCTGTTGCTTTTGCTGTATCTCCACTTTTAGCGCTAAGATCTGCATATTCCTCAGTGTCCAATAAGTTTGTAGTTGGACCACATGACAGGTGTGGGCTTCAGGCCTCCAAAATACTTGGCTATGGAGCGGTCCTCTGTCTCTTTTAGTTGACATTTCAACTTGAGCTACATAAATTCTGTCGTGTATTCCATTGATAGGTCTTGTTGCTAGTATTGGAGTTTCATGAAAATATCCCGACGGTAGTGTGAGGTTAGGTATTATTCTTGTATTGCCTTCTTCATACTCTCTCAAGAAGTGATTTTATTTCGTCCTTCTCTCTGTCTTTTCCTCTCAGGTTCTCCTATCACAAGTACTCTTTGTCAGCTTGGTGGTGGCTAACTTCACTCTTCTATCATTGAAATCACCCTTGCATTCAAAGATTCGCTAAACAGTCTGCATCCACTCAAGAAAATCATATAGAGTCATCCTCCCATCGAAGTCTTGTCGATCCACCTTAACTTCCAGATCTCAATGCTCTCTAGTAGGCATTTTCTCTCTCGACCACCTTTGATACTGAATTCTGAAATGCCCAGGTCGATCCTCCTTTTTATTGAAGACATCCCTAAGAAAGGTGTTTGACTATTCTTCCGGCTCTCATCCACATATCCGCTTTTACGGTCAACGATGACCTCACCCATGGTCCTTTCCTCAATGGCCTTGAGCCGTTGTAGTACTTGGTGGAGTATTCGTTGTATGTCGCCCATGATAAAGATTTTATCAGGTTCCAACAATTGACTTCTGTTGACCTCATTTTTGGTGAGGTCTTAGT